ATCACCGCCACCGCCGCCGCCAGCATCACAGTCGAGGTCACCGCCCGCATCACCACCGACGAGGTCACCGCCCGCATCACGGCCACCTCAGCCGCCAGCTGCCTTAGCACCGGTGCATCATCACTCTTCGGGAGGCAATTCCGGGTCAGAGCTGCCGACCGCAAAATCGGTACAGCCTATCCGGAACATAAGCAGCGAAGGGGATTCAGTGAGCTCTCGGGAGCTGAGGGGCGGAAGTGTAATTGTGCTCAGCAGTTTCGTGGGCATTTTGGCTCTCACATTGGCCGTGTTTTTCGCGTGGTTTGTCAATAGAAGGAAGAAAAGAAAAGGTGGTGGTGGCCCGGAGATCAATCAGCTGGAGCACTCTGCCTTTCCTTCGTCCCATAACACAGGTACTCGTCCCTCCGTTCTTACTTTATCATTTCAATATTTATTTTTCAAAAACAAAAAGAAAAGAAAAATTAATCAATTAAGAAAAACTTACTCGATGTTGGCTAGAATTAGACGTTTGTAGTATTTGTTTTCAGATGCTAATGTTGAATTGCTTAAAATAGAATGCACTGAATTATCTGTGGATGTGATTTTTATTCATGAGAGGGTTGATCAAATCAGAACCAAAATAGAAATTTTGAAGCATCCCTTCCCCTGATTAAATTATAAGTACATTTAGCAATTGAAAAAAAAAAAAGAAAGAAAAAAGTATAATTATTTTTTTCTTTTCTCTTTACAGATTCCACATTCCTAAGACCCCAGTATTCGAATCTCACGTGCTCGTCGGATGGCGGCAGGGGTGCTTCTTCTAGGTCGTGGCTCACGTACGAGGATTTATATGAGGCAACAAACGGGTTTTCGGAAGATAATGTTTTGGGCAAAGGTGGTTTTGGCTCTGTTTATAAAGGGGTGCTAATGGACAGCAAAGAAGTTGCTGTCAAGCAGTTGAAAGCTGGCAGCAGACAGGGTGAGCGTGAGTTCCGAGCAGAAGTCGAGATTATTAGCCGCATACACCACAGGCATTTGGTCTCACTTGTCGGTTATTGTATCTCTGAGAACCAAAGATTGCTCGTTTATGAGTATGTGCCAAATAACAACCTGCATTATCATCTCCATGGTAAGATTAAGAGAATCTTTATATTTTTTTTTTTTTGTTCCTTTTATTTAAGTGATTGGAAAAGCTTCTTTAGGCTATATAAATGAAGGAGAAACTGGAATTGAGTCAAAGTTGTTTGAACATACTATAGACAATAGCGAGGATTAGTTTTTTGATCAACTATTGTGCGATCAGGATTCGTATCACAATTTGAACTGAACACCCTTGCAGAATTTACTTGATTATTTATTTCTTTTTATATTTGAATTAACTGAGGTGTGCAGGTGAAAGCAATCAAGTGATGGACTGGGCTAATCGAGTAAAAGTTGCAAGTGGTGCAGCACGTGGGCTAGCGTATCTTCATGAAGACTGTAAGCTCTGGCAACAAAATTTGCAATTGGTACTCGTTCTGCGAGAAAAATAAAATAAAATAAAATAATTTGTAGTTTTCCATCATTTTTGTTTTCGATTCTGCTTTGGGGAGTACATGTTATATGCGCACTGCTCTTTCGAACACAATAGAATAAATATTAGCTTCGACCAATAAATTGCTGGGAGTGTGCCCCCCGTATAAATTATTTGAGAAACATAAATGTACTTAAAGGATTCTTTGTGTTATCAGGTCAACCGCGCATCATTCACAGGGATATTAAGTCCACAAACATTCTCCTTGATAACAACTTTGAAGCACGGGTATAACAATTGAATTTGCTGAATTATCTGAGTGCAATTATGTTGCATGATTAATATATTCACCATTAATTGCTCGAGCTTTGGTTGAGAACAGGTTGCAGATTTTGGGCTTGCAAAGCTAGCAATGGAATTGGATATAAATACTCACGTGTCGACTCGTGTAATGGGAACCTTTGGGTAAGATATTTTGGTGCTCTGCTACGGTCGAAATTAGGGATATTTACCAATTGTACCCCTGAGGTAACTTAACTAGGAAAGTTCACTAACACTCGCTTTAGTTCTATCTTAATTTTAAATAGACACCCTACTAATGGTTCAAAACTTTTGATTATAAAGTTCACTGGTTCCTTTCCGTTTTTAACACAGAGTTAGTTAACCTTCGGCTTGATTCTTTTTCTTTTTTTTTTCTGTCATTTTTACGGAAGTTTGGCTAACTTGCAGATACATGGCTCCAGAGTATGCGGCCACGGGTAAACTCACAGAGAAATCAGATGTTTATTCATTTGGTGTTGTGCTTTTGGAGCTCATTACTGGTCGGGAGCCTGTTGACTCATCTCGACCTTCGGGTGATGAAAGCCTAGTTGAATGGGTAATTCGTGTCGCATTATTCTCTCTCCCTATATATATATATATATATTCTGTTTTGGTTTGGCATCTTCTCATCTACAATGATTTGGGTCTAATTTTTGCTTACGTGGCATGTAAATAGATAAAATATACAAAAATAACAAAATTAACTCCAATGCAAAATTAACCACCTCCATTGCAGGCTAGGCCATTACTCGCTCGGGCACTGGAGTCACTAGATTTTGCAGAGCTAGTTGACTCGAGGCTCGAAAACAATTTCAGTGAAAGAGAGATGTTCCGTATGATAGAAGCAGCTGCGGCTTGCATTCGTCACTCGGCTTCTAAAAGGCCGCGTATGAGCCAAGTATGTGAAAACACTCACGTCTCTTTTTT